TAATTCAAAATTTAATAAATGTTTGCACGATAAACAAATATCTACAATTATAAATTTCTTTATTTATATGTACATATATATATATAAATATTCATACTTATTCGTCCCCGTAATTAGTTTGGACGATAACAAATATTAAAATTATGTATAAGTGAATAAGAAAATTTTCAAGAAGACATACTAATCACGCTTGTACTTTCCAGCAACCTTGTTACAGTCAGAGCAAGCTTGAACGAGATATCTTTTATTAGAAGACGACTTTTTATACCAGCGTTGTGCAATGCTAAATGATATAAATCAGCGTAAAACTAGAAGAAGAAGAAAAAAAACGAGAAAAAATTAAAGTGAATATAAAAAAAAAAAAAGAAAAAGAAAAAAAAAACAAATAAGAGGAATTATCAATTGCTAATATAATATTATACATATGAATCGGTTTTATTCCTCGCACCTTCGTATTCTTGCCATCTGTTGGTACATTGGAAAATTCTGAACTGACTTCGGTACACTGAACAACCATCGTTTGAGAAGGCGTCACTAAAAGTGTCAGGTTTGTTCGCTGTAAAATGATATATAAATAAATAAATAAATAAAATAAAATAAAACACAGATTAAAATCGCGGATACGAGATAATATAATCATAGATAACAACGCGTATAACATCATAATGAGCAATGATTAATCTTTTTTTTTTTTTTTGGGATCGATTAGAAACTCGTGTAATTGAAATTTTACAGAATTTCAATTATTATGCTTCTTCTTTTTTTTTTTTTTGTTTAATTAATTCAAATAGCTGCAACGATGCAATTACGTAAATACGATGTTGATTCTCATTGTGTATTCACAATACTATCGGATTTACACGAATTATCTGAGAAACGGTCAGATAAGTTTATCACACAAGATTTAATATTTTTATGGAAATAAAAAATGAACGAACGAGAGGATAAGATGTATCCAATAATTATCATTATCGTACGATTATATCAACACGTGTTTGATTTCTGTTTTTTGATATTTATTTTCTATTTCTTTTTTTTATTTACCTGTTTGGCAACGCACCCATGCAATTCCTTAAATTGTAAAACTATTTCACGCGAAGTTCTAGTTACGTTCCACCTAGACCAGGAGAAAGTATAAGCGGTGCAAAGTAGACCAATACATTCTTGCAAATGTCTTTCGGTTACCAAATGTTTCATAGGAAGTCCTTTGACGTAACTTGCCGTGTCTCGTTCCGGAAATAAATCGCATCCACCTTCCCGCATTTTCTGACGCATTCGGAGACAACAACAAAATGTTTTCCTTAATCATCCGAACGAGGAATATCATCGAAGGTTAATACTTACGTCTATTAAAAAATGTAACTTCATGTATTCGCCGACGATGTTTTGAAGTGCCGACGATGTTCCGCCTATCAACGAGTTCAAACAAACCGTATCTTCCTAAAAAGAAATAAAAAGAAAACAAAAAAAAGAATAAGAAAAATGTATAAAAAGAAATTTGCTGATAACGCGCGACCGTGATTATTATTCGTTTAAATGTTTTTTAAATTGACAAACCCTGACAAGAAATTCCGCTTGAACCGTAGCTGCCGTTAAATTGAGAACAACCCCACCGCGACTGTTTCTACCCATTTCCGGTTTAACTTCCCAACTTTGAAATGGAAGATTGATCAATTTATTTGCCGCCAAACCGTGAATCCCTAATCTACCGGTACGAAATGTTATTTGTTGTTTTTCCTCGTTGAATTTAATATCGTGTACGTCTTGAGTCGACCAGATTTTTTTCTCGGGAATCCAGTGTGCCACCAATGGTGGTTCGAACCATAACACCGTATCGGGCAACCTAGGATATATTTTGTTAGAAAGTAAAAACAAATAAAATTTTACAGGAACAACAAAAATAATGCGTTTTTAAATAATGAAATACTTCAATGTAACCAATGCAAGAGCTTCCATCGCAGTTTCCAAAGCTCTCATTTCGTTCTCGATGATTTCCGGTGTTCTTTCCGAACCCGGTGCAGGTGGGGGTGCCTTGTAAGGTTTATAAAATGGCACGTGTTTCAATTCTTTGGGTATTTGTACTGCGATCGTAAACAATTTCAAATGAAATATTTCGTATAATATTGAAAATACGTCAAGAGATATAGAATATTTCGAAAAGAAAAGGAAAAATGAAAAAGAGGTGTAACAAAATTATTTACGAGTCGTGAGTAAAATATTTCGTCTCATATCCTTAGGCTGAGGTGGCTGATAGACCAGATCAATGTGATAAATTCCACCTAAGATTTTATACTTGCGTAAATTAATTTCTGTTTTTTCGCACTTGGTGAACAATTGTTTTCTAACTTCCTTCCGTATTTCCTCTATTTAAAATAATGATGATGACACTAATGTAACATTACTAACCACTGTTGTCAGTAAAAACCACGAATTCAATGTTACTTACCTTCTTTCAACAAAATGATCTCATTCGGAGTTGGCAAGTACGGTAGTGGTTCCGTTTCCTGTTCGGATTCCGGTCTCTTCGTCCGACCATATTGACCACCGCCCTTTCTTCCTCTTCTATCTAACTTTATCGTCATAGCTGGTACCGGATTCTCCATCTTCCGGAGCATTGCTTTTTTTTCTTCCAACCTTAATCTACGTCCCTCCAATTGTTCCTCGCGTATCCTACGTTTCGTTTCGTATTCGTTCGAACAAAACGTTAATAGATCTGAAGATTAAAAAAAAAAAAAACAACAACAAAATAAAAAGGAAAATACAAAATTTTTGGAACAAGAGATTTGGACACTTTTGTTTCTATTTTTTTACTTTTTTATTTTTTTTTTTTCTAACACGTTCCTTCGTTTAATTGGGTTTCGTTACGAAACGGATAAATAATATTACATTTTTAATATCTTTGATTTCTTTTTATTCTTTCTTTTTTTTTTTGAAATAATCATCGTGTTAAATTTAGTCATTGATTTTTCTTTCCTTTTTTTATTGCAAGAAAACCCAACGATGTTACTTACACGTTGATTATTTTATCCGTTAATAAGAGAAAAAAAAGAGATTATTGCGTGTACCGAAAATGGTGTACACGTGGCAGTTAACGTGTTTCATTCTTCATTCAATCGGAAAAGAAAAAGAAAAAGAAATATATACGTATATATATATATATATATATATATATGCATATCCGAATAAAAATTCGAAGTTTCCTCACCCATGTTCATTTGATATTTCTCTGGTATTTCCGGCATGACGTAAGAGGTCCCAATGTCAGAATAGTGATCGTAATCGAGCCACAATCCACGAATAGCCATGCAATAGCAATCGATGTCTAGCGGCATCTTTATCGTTAGCTCAATTTCCTTGAAATGTACCTCGATAGGTTTTCTGTCATACGAATCAAACAATGACGAAATTGTCTGCTTTCAATAATTAATACGCAAATATACGCGTACAAATGTAACACGAAAAAATTATATTTATATTATTTTGTGATAATAAAATAAAATAATAATAATAATAAGTATATTGTTATACCTATCTTTATCAGGAATATCTTTAATACTGATCGGTAGCTTAATTAGTGCCCAGATGCAACAAACAAGATAGCTCGATTCTTTGACGTAAATAGCATTCCTAAGATCAACTCTGAGCATATCTCTTTCGATCTGACGTAAAAGACGGTAACAAGCTTGGTCTATACAATTTTGTAACTTGTTCCTGAAATCTTGTCTGATCTATATTATAATAAATCGTGATATAATTAACATATAATTTAATTGTCCTTATAGTATATATCTTACTTACCATTTTACATTCCTCGATGTAACCGGTTGATCTCGTTAAAGAGAAATTAATAATTTCGTGAAGCTTCGACAATAACTGTATGTGTAACCAAATAAATAAATAAATAAATAATTAATTGTGACAACTAAATCACACACACACGCGCATACACATATATTACGTATTTATAATATTCATATATATACAAGAAATTATTCTCGTATGTGAATTCCCCGTTCATCATCGATTTTTATCTAATACTATGATCATTTAAAAGATGTCATAACGATCATAGTTAAAATACCTATGTGTGAAATAAGATAAAAATACTTACGTATTGCACAATTTTGCATTTTCTTATGATCGTATCCATATTGATATCTTCTTTCAACGACCAAAGGAACATGAATGTATTCATATCGGACAATTTAGCGGCGTCCGGTAAATCGTCACACGTTAAATACATAATCCACTGAAATTAATATACATTAGGTCATCATTATGTTTATACGATACACATAATACATATGCTATGCAAATTTTTAGAAAAAATTGAAACAAAAAAGGAACATGATTCTATTATATTTGTTTCTATCTCTCTCTCTCTCTTTCTTTCTTTCTTTCTTTCTCTCTCTCTCTCTCGCTCTCGTAATTCAATCCACAAGAAAACGCACGTTTTCCTCTTCCTCGGTAGCAAGAACGTGATCCATAAACGCTTTTTTATTTTCATGTACCACGAACCGCGTTTTCTCCAATTGGATTTTTCGCATAATCGTTTGGCTCTCCTCCAATAGAACTTCTTGTTCCGTATTGTACCTCTCCAAACGAATTTCTTCTTGAATATCCTTTATCAATTGCAATCTGAAATCAAATAGAAATATAATTTTATAATTTTGTGTTACTCTATGGGAGAGAAATTGAAATTGAAATGAAGAAAAATTGGTGTATTGATTGTTGACACCTTTCTTCTTCATTTTTAAATCGTGGTTTTGATACTCTTAAATAACTATCGAAGAAAACAATAGTTTTTAACGAATCTCCCAACATATTTTTCTTTTTTTTTTTTTTTCTCTCTCTCTCTCTTTTCTTATAAATAAATTTATTTTCTCTTGTACAAAATGTAAGAGAAGAAATAGAGAGAGAGAGAGAGAGAGAAATAGTTTTAAGACGATCGCTGGAAGGTACGAAACTAGACTGGGAAACTCATCGAAATTTAAAGGGTGTACGTTAGAGAGGGTTGGAAGAAGGGTTGGTAAAGGGGTAAGTTGCCGAAGTAGCTCTAAAAGGGGAAGTGGGTCGAAAGCGAGTTGCATAGATAAGGGATGGAATTCTGCCAAACTCATATTGCGCGAATTTTATGCTAACACTCGACAGGTGTATGCGCAACGATCCACAAATTCAGGAAACTTTACACACACACACACACACACATCCTTCCCCAATCTCACCCTCGCGTATCTCATACCATTATCAGGATACATTTTTCTTGTTCTTTTTTTTTTTATTTTTTCTATTCTTTGCACACATGACCGTTATTATTATATAATCAAATTATAATCCGTTTTTTAATATAATTGACCTTATGTTCACGTTAACCTTGATCAACACACACAATTTGAATCGCAAATGATATCTCTGATATTTGTGATCAAAACTTTGTCTTTTTTTTTTTTTCCTTTCGTTTCGTTTTGTTTAAAATAATATTAAGATAAGGAACATTACCGTATTTTTTCTGCCTCCTCGGCAGCCGCAACAGCTTGCTCCTTTTCCAAAGCTCTTTGGGCTTTTTTCGTCATTATTTTGGCTTGTCCACGCGAACTGGCCAACTAAAGCGATCGTTAACGATAATTAAACATTTTATAATTCATCGGTTTTCTTTTCTCCCATCTCGTGACATCTTTTTTGCGATAACCCGATGTACCTGTTTTTTTTTTTTTATTTTGTTTCTTTTTTTAACAATTGTTCGAGAATTTTCTTTTTTTCATTTCAAAAAAAAATAAAATTTATCGAAAATATTTTTAAACGATTTAATATAATATAATGGAAGAATAAAATAATTTATTTACCTGTTTGCGAATCCATTCTCGTAACTGAAAATAAAAGAAAACAAATACACACACACATATATAATATATGGAAAAATGAAGAAAATATGTTTGAATTATTTTCTTTTTCTTCTCTCTCACTTTCTTTCTTTCTGTCATTGTGTCAGTGAGTATGTATTTAAATTGACCATTATAGTTTAACGAAAGATAGTTAATAATAGCGATGTTATCAAGGCGATAACGATGAGAAAGAGAAATAACGAGAGGTGGTTAGTTGTTAGTGCGAGAATGCACCTACCAAACCATTCTAAATTGCACTTAATTTCCGTTGAATTATCGATTAACGTGCCGAGACCTAACGTCAATATCCTGTCTAAGCTAAATATAGTATTTTACTTCGCGTAACTATGTTAATGCTACGAAAAAGAAGATTTGCAGGATAGACAAAAATTTTCTCGAAAATAAAATATAAAAATAAACTTATCAAAATTAGGTTCTACTTCTTTTTTTAATGTCCAAATTCCCTATGATACCTTCTTATTAAGAATTTTATTTTTGAACGAGAGAAACAACTGATTGTATGAAAATAAATATAACAAATGATAAAAAGGAAACCTAAATAGAAAGAAAAATATAAACGAATTCGTTGATGTGTATCCGCGATCTACGATTATTACTTTTATTCAATTTTTTTCCTCGTGTTATAATTCGTTATTAATTGAAAACAATTCGATGTGAAATATTTGTAGAAAATAAAATCAAACAAAAATCCGTGATCCGAATTGTATATTTCAAGAATTACGAACTAACGAATTGTCTTTTCGTTTAATTGTAAATGAAGAAAAAACAAATCGAAATATATGATGATTATTACTAAAAGAGATGCACGAGGAATTATTGTTGGCTTCGGAGGTTCCCATTTGAAATCAATGCTAGAATCCTCTTCGTATTCGTCGTAAATAGACACGTCTAAGGAGAAATTATCCTCGGTATCGTTCAAACCAGTTTTTCTTTTCCTTCTTGTATCACTTTTAACTCTTACGACATCTCTGAGAAAAAATAAATAATACGAGAAACTTCATCGATATTCAAAGAATCCAGATATCGATCTATTATACTCTATTTTATTTTTCGCAAAACCCGGTGGTGAAAGGAATTTTTGTTAAAATTGTATGAGAATATAAAAAATTGAACAAAAAAAACGTATTCTTATTTTTGAATTCTACGAAATGCGAAATTCAACTAGAACTTATTAATAATTCTACGAACAATGATATTCGTCTGGAATCTTTTTAAATACCCGATTCAACGTTACACGTCACGTATGGATACACTCATTCATATATATATATAAACACACACACACACATATTAACGGAGAAGACGCATCAAACCTATTTGATTTTCTCTCGGAATTATTTGCACGTTCAAACAAACACCTATATATTTTTGTGAAGCTTTTTTTCATTTTGGTTCGTTCAGATACTCGATCAAAGTCGTGCCTTTACGTGGGCAGTTCGTTGAAATGTCGAACCATCAACCAACATCCATTAAATATCCATACTGAGTGTTCGACAAACTCAACTTGGTTGGGATGCTTTTAAATGTATAACGAATATTCCCCTACACTACGTGTTCTTCGATTTATTTTAATGTCATTTTTAGAACCGAGATACTATATTTAAAATTATATCAAATAAAAGTACATCATTTTTTCTTTTTTTTTTTTTTTGAAAATTTAATTTAAGTTTCCAAATCGAAAAATCCAATTGAAAATAATTCAACTGGACGCGATTGGATAATATTTGTTTTTCTTTGATTAATATACAACTAACTTTGTATCACTCGATTCAACACCTAATTGTTCCGATGAAACATGAAATCCTATATCCGTTGTACTAACATAATCATCGGTAATACTGATATCGGACAAATTCAATTTTGGATCATCTTCTTCCTTATCCATCTAACAGGTTAACCAATCAAATATCTCATTTTAAAAAAATAACACGAGTATCACTTTGTAACGTAAAATTATATCGCTTATTATTTTCGTTCACCTTTTCTTTTTTTCTTAATCATCGTACAAAATTGATCAGTTCGTTTTAGAAAACTTTTTAACTCTTAGGGTACAATTTATAAAAATCTTATCGAGAACGAACGTGAAAAAATAAATTGAACGAAAGTTATAAGCTTTGAAGTTAAATCAAAATGGTATACGATTATCGATAAAGAAACAATATTAATAATATACATCGATATTTGATAAACAATAAATTGTCACATTTGATAGAAGGAAAATACTTAGACTTTTGATCATAACTCGTGATAATGTTATCACATTTATTTATTCTTTCTTCAATTTATTGATTTATTGGCAAAGTAACTTAAAACGATGACAAATGAAAAAAACCCTTTAATACCCTTTTAAACCCTTTGTCCTAAAGTATCGTGTTAGGCTCGTGGTAAAAAAAATAAAAAAAAACAATGACGAGTATCACGTGAACAAATGATGTGATGGAATCGATCGGATCAATAATAAAAAAAGCATTGCAAAATAAATTTCCAGCTAATTATGGCATCGGGGGATTTAAATTATTGAGGACGGAATTAATCCTTAGGGTCACTATTTGCAATATAAAACAATGTAAACTTTAAACGTATGACGGTAATTTATTATTTTTTCCAGGAACACGCATACACGTGCACATAACACACAATTTCTATTAATTAAGCATTGCTGTATAATATTAACAAACATTGTGTAAGAATATTTACTAAGTATGCAGTAGTTAGTTTGATATTTGATTCGTACTTTCGCACGATTGACTGAAAACATTTCTTCTAAATTTTTTATTAATTTTCTAATTATCTCCTAAATTTTCTTCTTGTTTTTTTTCTTTTAGTTCAAATTACAAAGACCAGATATTTTTATTTGTTATTTAACAATGAAATTTTAGAATGAACTTATTTAGCAATTCTTTTTTTTTTTAACTCGCGACAAATTTATTTGTATTTTATACATTTAATTGATAAAACAAAGACAAATTTATATTCATAATAAACACCAGAACAATTGCACGCCAACAGGAAAGAATGATTGTCTCTTTTGTTTTTACCATGTCATTTCCTGTCTCATACTTGTAAACCCGTTCAATCGTTCGTATCTTTCAATTTAGTGTTAAAAGTTAATTCTGATGGTACGCGTCTAATAACGATCGTTCTTTGATCAGAAACAAAATTATTATATTTAAATTTTTGTGTAAAATATTTATTCGATTATAAACGAGTTGATAAAAAACAAAACAAAGAAAGATAGTACATAAAAGTGCATAAAAGGTGTGCGACTGAAGTTTACGATAATTTTTTATTTCTTTTTTCTTTTTTTGTCTTTTCGTTTTGTTTACTTTCTTCTCTTTTCTTTTTTTTTCACTTCTGCAATAAATAAATAAATAACTACGCGTATCTAATTTTTCTTCTTCTTCTTCTCGTTCTAATTTTAGATGAACGACAATATCAATTACAAAATCAAAAGTGTGGCGAAATTTTTCGCCGGTAGGAGCATATTTATGACAGGTGGTACCGGTTTTGTGGGAAAAGTTTTTGTAGAAAAATTATTACATTCTTGTCCCGAGATCGATAAATTATATATGTTAATGAGAGAAAAAAAGGGAGTACCTATTGAGGAGAGATTAAAAAAAATGTTTTCATTGCCGGTAATTAAATTGATAATTTAAATTTAATAATACAATTTATATACAACCATTAAAACGTATAATTCAATTAATTTATGAACAATCTAGGTTTAACGCGAGATAATTAATATCGTTTCACGAAAACAAAAATATTAAATGAAATATAATTATACACATTCAACTAATTGTGCTTAGAGATAACTATAAGTAAAATATATGAATTTAAAAAAAACGAGGAGTAGTTAAATTATATGAATATTGAAATTTATATTTGTCCATTAATGTTTGCTTTTCTTTTTACAACAATATTAGTAATTATTCGTTCTTATCTTTTTTCCCCTCTGTCTATTTTTAATATTAATTTTAATTAAAAGTAATTCTGTGTGTAGTCTTTTTCGTAATTTTAATATGTCAATACAGTTATTTCATGAATTAACGATTTTCACGTTTTAACGGTTAATTATATATAAAAGTAACATAATATAAATAAGAGAAACAAAAAACATATATGTGTAAAAATACTTCTTCAGCTCTACGATAAACTCCATGAAATGAATCCTTCAGCTTATAAAAAAGTTATTCCCATAATCGGTGACACAGCGAAAAAAGATTTAGGATTGGATCCGACCGATAGACAAATTATCATCGATAATGTTTCTATTATAATTCACAATGCCGCCAACGTCAGATTTGATGATAGTTTACAACACGCGATTTTAAATAACACGAGATCTATCCGTGATATTTGCATTTTGGGTGAAAGTATGAAAAAATTAGCGGTGAGTTGAATATAAAAAAAAAAAAAAGAAAGGAAAATATAATATAACGCGATAAATGAAATAAATTAGTTGTTCTTTTAACTTTTTCTATTTTTGTTTTTACAGGTTTTGTTACACGTAAGTTCGACCTATGCACATAGCGATATACCTGTCGTAAATGAAATACCATACAAATCAAAAGTCGATTGGAGGGATGCTATAAATATAGCAGAAAATGTCGATGATTATTTATTAAAAATCTTAACAGCGAAGTAAGTTTATATTTGCGTTCATTTAAAACCCGTTCAAATTTTCTTCAATGATAATAATAATCAAGTTACAACAAAAAATTTAATAATAACATTTTGTTTTTTTCGCAGATACATGGGAACGATCCCGAACACTTATATATTTTCGAAAAAATTAGCCGAAGACGTGGTCAATTATTATTCCAATCGATTACCATGCGTTATTTGTAGACCATCGATAAGTACGTAATTTCTTTTTTATTTGTTTGTTTGTTTCTTTGTTTGTTCGTTTTCTTGAAATTTAAAGAAGAATAAGAAAAATGTTTACTTCTAATTCGTTATTCCAATTAAAAATAATAATAATAATAATAATAATAATAATATTTTTCTTTCTTAGTCATCAGTACGATAGTAGATCCAATTCCAGGATGGATAGACAATTTTAATGGTCCAGTAGGTTTGATGGTTGCTGGTGGTAAAGGAATATTAAGAGTAACTTATTCGAATTCAAAAAAATTTATGGATTATGTACCCGTCGATTATGCCGTCAGAATTTTTATACTCGCCATTTGCATACGAGGACAAAATACGTAATTTGAAATTTACAACAAATGAATATTATTTTCAACGATAATTTTATAATATAAACATAATACACAATTTATATGTATAAATGTATATGTAATTGTATCTTTCTAACGTTTTATGATCTACTATAACACAGGATAGAACAACATCCAACAACCATGATCTACAATGTGTCAACGTACAACTTGAAGAAAATCACTCTTGAATATATGATCAATACTAGTCTAAAAGTTAACCAAATCAACCCTTTATCAAATCCGTTATGGTATCCACATGTGTTTATTATTCCATATTTCTTTCTATTTTACGTTAATTTTATGCTCTTGCATTTGTTACCGGCCATAGTCATAGACCAAATATTCAAATTAATCGGATATAAACCAATGTGAGTATTCAAAATCCATTTCTACGATAAACATTTGTTTTCTCATGCTAAATTAATTTAATTTTCTAATTGAAAAGTATATCGTGGGGGAAAAAGAAAAAGAAAAAGAAAAAAAAGAAAAAAAAAAGAAAGAAAATATAAATTAACATATTCGTATTTAAATGGATCATAAAAAAAAAAAAAAAAAAAAAAATAATAATAATAATAATAATATAATTAAATTTCAATATCGATTTTAGATTGGTCAAAATACAAAGGAAAATATACATTAGCAGCGTTTTCTTATCCTACTTTACTAACAATTCATGGGACTTCGTAAATAAAAACAGTTTAAAGTTATTGAATTCGATATCTGACGAGGATAAAGCCGATTACTGGATCGATATTAATTTAGTGTCCGTAGAAGATGTATTATAGTAAGTTTTTAAATAAACTTACAACAAAATATATAATATTTGTCAATCAATTATTATTATCAATAATAGCAAAAACAGAAAATCAATCGGTCAAAACTAAATGATTAAATTAATCATGTGTATCTTGTGTTACATTGATTTTCATTTATCTCTTTTTTCAGTTCTGGGATAATTGGAAGTAAAAAGTATCTTTTAAAAGAGGAGATGGATATTAAAAAGAATAGACGTGGATATAACAGGTGAGAATAGATCATTTCTAAAAGGTCATCATTTTTCAATGACCATTATTAGATTCTTAAAATGTTACTTACTAACTTACTTACGAAAGATGGTAGTTTAACGTCGTGGACAATGTTGCGCACGATAGTAAAATGCAATTTCACAGGATACGATTGATATCAATTCAATATCATGAACATTTCTTTCTCTCTCTCTCTCTCTCTCTCTCTCTCTCTCTCGCTCTTTCTTTCTTTTGATAAAAAGTCCAGTTTTCATGGTGAAAAAAGATAAGAAGAAAAAAAAGAAAATTAAACCAAACGAACGAATTAAATAAAAAGGATCTATCTCGAGGAAGATAGTTAATGATGATGATGATGATGATGATAACGTTAACGTTGAAAGAAAACTATTTTGCCAAGAAGATTATGTGAACTGTGACGGTTTGATCGTGAGGTTTGGTCACTGTGCGAGTTTGTTCACACCGGGTGTTTGGTCGATCGCAATGTCGTTTGGTTCTCTCTCTCTCTCTCTCTCTCTCTCTTTCTCCTTCTTTGAAAACTAGGTCGCATAGCTGGTGCCGCATTTAAAATGCACAGGTTATCGTTACATTAGTAGTAGTAATAGTAGTAATAGTAGTAGTAGTAGTAGTAGTAGTAGTCGTGTTTCAATGAATTCCGAATAATTATCAAATAGTTTAGTTTCGTACCCTTTTACAAAAGTTTTCTAACGTGAGAACACATTAAATAAACGCGTAAGAAATTCAATTCGTTTAACGACAATTTCTTTCGCATTTCTTTCGACGATTAGTTACATTCCTTCTTCTTTTCTTATATTTCTTTTTCTACCTTTTTTTTTTTCTCGTATTATTATTATTATTATTATTATTATTATTACCATTGGTATTGCAAACAATTGTCACGCGTTAAGTATGATATAATCTCCGACAATTGTATTATATAAAAAAAAAAAAAAAAACCCATTACACGTTGCAACGCGATCGTTTAATTCTATTGCATTGTTCGAGTGTATGTCCTTTTTTTTTTTAAATACATTTTATCGATTTTATTTTGTCAAATGTAAGCTTACGTTTCTCCCTTTTTTATTTTATAACCTAATGCGATATCTTTTTTCGATCCATCTTCGCTGGCCCCCCTCCCACTCCATCATAAAGGTTCTCGGTTTTGTCAAAGAGTGTTAGAAAAAAACAAACTTATCAATTTAAACAGGAATATTGGTGAAATTGGAAAGAAAAAAACAAAAAGAAATACACCAAATTTTTTCGGAAATGAAAAAGAATATACATATTATATATATAGTAAGGAAGTTATATATATATGTATTACTAAATGTCGGTTGCATTTTCGCAATGAAAAGTACAAGCAACGTTTGTCAATTCAAATATTGATAAGTAGCAAATTAATCCTTTCGATTCTTCACTTTTGCATCGTACGATAGCGAATGACAAATAAGCATAATAAACAATGATGATGATAATAGAAAAAGATAGAGATAGAGATAAATGGAGAGAGAGAGAGAGAGAGAGAGAGAGAAAGAGAGAGATGATGAGGAGGTTGGGAAGGGGGAGGAGTAGAGACAAAAGTGAGATAACGAGGCACGTCACGTTTGCAACGTAGGAAATCCCCGGAGCGATACAACCGACCACGGGAATCGTAAACGAACAACACATCACACAACTACTTATACATATATATATATATATATTTTTCTACGTATTTTTATCGACGCCGTTATTTATTTTTAACTTGTTTAAAGTTATTTTTAAAACTTTGCCACGGTCGTCGTCTACGTCCCCACCCCCCGCCCCTTGTCACCCGACCCCCTTTAAGAAAAAAACAAAAAAAACGAATTATGTTAAATTAATTTTTATACAACGCCTATAATTCTAATTTGAATATGTATACGGACGATAAAAGAAGAAGAAAAATAAAAAAAAGAAAAAAAAAAAGAACAGGTACAATATCAACGAGAATCGAGGAAGGTATAATAAAATACTGTTTATATTATATCTTGATGATAATTAGATAAGTTTAAAGAGAGAGAGAGAGAGAGAGAAATAAAATCATTAGAAGATACTAATGAGTATTCGGGAAAGATCATTTATAGTAGTACTCATATAAATACTTGTTATTTTTTTGATTAAAGAGTAGTAATAGAAATAGAATAAAAGAAAGATATGAGACGTGTGACGTAATCAATGAAAGACGAAGGAACGCGAGTGCGCGGCATTGATTACTCACGTGCAAACGTGCAACTTTAGATAGAAAAAAAAAAAACAGAAGAAGAAGTAAAAAAAAAAAAGAAAAATGATTGCAACCGCTGAATAGTGTACCGGTTAGTCAGAGGAAAGGCAAATTCACTTTGACATTGGATGACTTAAGTTTTAATTATTGTCGCGTATTTAACTAACGCCTTAGCCTCAGGCTTTTTCACGAATCGGAGCGAGTAAAACAATATATCGATTAGGATGTTATATGACAGTGATAGTGCGAGAGAGAGAGAGAGAGAGAGAGAGAGACTACCAGGCTGAAGTTACGCTGGGAATTTCCAGTTCTATTATAATAAATCCAATAATGTGTGATTATCGATTGTAACCAAATGAAAGCATAATAATAGTGTCAGAAGGTTATCGTACGTCCAAACCGAGGTTATTATAATTATGCAACATAACTTAATGAATTTCCAGTTATTATTTCATTATAATGGTTTTTCTTTTCTCTTTTTTTTTTTTTTTGGATATTTATTCCAAACGAGATTATGGCGTTAGTTAATTAACAACATTTAAATAAATACAAACGTTGAATTTATATTAACACGCAAAAGATAACTTTGGAAATATAATCATTGGAAATAGTTACTTGCATTAATTACAAATCGACAATTTATAAATCTTTCTTATCTTTTTGCTTTTTTTTGTTTTGGTTTGCATACATACATACGCGGATATATATATATATATATATATATATATATATATATATACCGTGCCTCCGATAATCATATTAATGAGGTTACCATTCATTTTTCTTTGAAATTCATTTTAGATAAGGACAAAATAATGATTCGATATTTTATTTTCAGAATGTGGTATTGCCATATAATTGTCAAAACCGTATTCTACATCCTTTGTTTGTGGTTCGTTATGCGTACGTTAATAAAATGGATTTAACGCAATCTATACGAAAGATTATTCGACTTGAGAGAAAGAAAAGGTTACTTATTGAAAATTAATACGAAGAAGAGAAAGGAACAATAAATAAAACCAACGTAAAAAATTGAAAATGACAATTTTCTTCATTTGTCATTACGACTGAAGTGGGAGAAAAAGGTGGGGCGAGGGGAGGGGGAAATAAAAGAGAACAATACAAAAAAACAAGAAAATGAATCAAATATAAAATTAATATAAAGTTTTAATTCTTTTTTTTTTCATTATATCCTTCCAAATAAAAATTGAATCGAATGAATGGTAGCGAGCAAACAAAAAAATACAACAAACCTGTTTCATAACCGATGTGATATCACATCCCACCCCATATCCCATTTTTTTTCTTTAAATAATAATAAAAGAAGAAAACGTTACGAAAATTGCGACATTAAAAGTTCGCAGCATCACAAAACATCGAATCGAATCGAATCGCGTTACCAATCCTTTTCTAAATATATATCGCATACGCGAGCTATCTCATTCATATAATTTTCTCGGAATCGGCTTCGATTCCAAGATTATTCTCGGTAGAGACGAGCCTGTTATCGGTTTTACCGATAGGAAAGAATAAAAAAAACAGTAATATGCGAAGAGGGCAAGAGTAACGTAAAGAAAGAAAAAAAAAACGAAAAGAAACGAAACGAAATCGAGTGTGTGTATCGTTAGATTATAATTTACATTTATTTAATATCTCGATGTGTGTGTGTTCTCTCTGACTTTTATTCTTTTTTTTTTTTGCTTTTTTTCTTTGTCTTCTTCTTCTTCTTCTTCTTCTTTCGCGACACTCTTCCAAAGAATTTCTTCATTGCGATTACAATTTGAAGAAAAACATCGTTGGATCCGATCGATCGTTCGTTCGATCAATTCCACGAGCGGCTCCTCCCTTTTACAGTGTTTTTTTTTTCTTTTCTTTTTTTTTTTCTCTCTTCTTCTTCTTTATTTCTTCTTCGAGTTCTTCGTAAGTAACAGTTTTACCTGTGTCGATTCGATGTAATCGGCTACTAACTAACTAATTAACTACCGACTAATATCACCTATCATAATAAAAACGATGATAGTAAGATAAAAATATAGATGAATAAGAATAGGAGGTGAAAACAAATAAGAACAAAAAAAAAACAAAAGATATTGATATAAAAAAAAAAGGAACGTACGTACGAATGAGTATGCAAGAGAGAGAGGGAGAGAGAGAGAGAAACGAATAGAAAAAAAAAAGTAGTTGATAATTCCTTGGAGAACAATCAAGTGGTGTGAGTATGTAATTGAAATAAACGCGTAATAGTAATAGTAGTAATAGTAGTAATAATAATAGTAGTATTAAATGTAAATGTGACGTGTATTTTACTTTACATACGACTTTAGATTTAACTCGTTTATATGAATATGAAATTTAATGTTTTACGCGGAAAAAAACAAACTGTACGATACGACGACGTTTTTTTATTTGTTTCTTTTTTTTTATATATATATATATATATATATATATATACAATCATGTTTAAACATATTCTCTGATTAAAAAAAAATAGACGCAACAATAAATAACAATAACAATAATAACAACAACACAATAATATCTGTCTACTATCTGACAGAAACTTTAGTTGAGAAAAGAACGTACGTACGTACGCACGTACGTACGTACGACGAAGAGAAAACCCGTTTCGCAATTCGGTGAAGTTCATCTACGCGGATAGAATATATCTATATGTATAATATTTTTTTCTTTTTTCTTTTTTCTTCTTCTTCTTTTTAAATACAACGACGACGACGACGACGACGACAATCTATTCGAGCGAGGCAAAGTTATTTCGATCGTAAAGAAAAAAAAATAAGAAAAGAAAAGAAACAAAACTAAAGACGCATCGTATCCATCACCACCACCATCACCATCACCACCACCACCACCACCACCACAACCAACGACGAGTTCCTCGATATAATTTGAATCTTCTCGGTAATATAAAAAACAAAAAATTATTAGGTAATATCGCGTATATATATATATATATGTGGGATTAATTTTGTGCGAAAGATAACGAATTAACTAATAAAAAAAAAGAACGAACCTTTCTTGATTTTATTCTACATATATATATATATATGTAAAATAAATAATATACGATACCGTTTGTTACATATATTTTGTTTTTGATAATAATAAATTTATCATCGTTCATTTTATTCTTCCTTATCGCTTTCTTTTGTTTTTTTTTTTCTTTTTTTTGTTTTTTTTCCAATTCCATCATTTACTAGGAAAAAATTTTAATATTCTAGGATTGATAGGAACGGTTAAAGTGAAATTTTTCTCAATGTGAAAAAAAAACCGGATCCATATAGAGGATATACGTCCCATCGAATATTTCCTTTCTTCTTCTTCTTCTTCTTCTTCTTCTTCTATAGTAAATGATGATGAAATAATACGATGACTGGTAGGAGACATTAACGAGACAGATCGTCTACGATAGATGATTCTCTTTCACGGACTGTGACACACAAACACTATCACACGCGCGTCATCGAACCTATGAGTATAACTATATATAAGTGTGTGTATATTTGCTTTCAATTCGATAAGAAGAATGAAACAAAAATTAACAAAAATAATATACAATCGTTTTTGTTTTTTTACTCTTCCGAAGCTTAAAAAACAAAATTATTATTTTATTTCTTTTTTTCTTTTTCCTAAAAATGTATATATAATTTTGAATTTTCGCGTGTAAGTAAGGTGAGAACATACGTACTGTTGTTTTTTATTTTACCAAAGTACAATTTTTCGTGCATCGGTTCTAGGTTAATTGTAAAGTGTAATCTATATGTATATATATGTAAAAAAGGTAGAATCGAATTCACAACACCGGAACAAGTTCTTCAACACGAATAACGTGTTAAAATCTTAAATATATTATAACGATATCTAATGTTTGTTGTGTCGTTATTTGAAAAATGTTATTTTTTACAATTGTTTCAGAATAATCTACGAAATATATCAAATCATTTTAAAAATGTTCTTTTAAACCATGCGAATAGTTTATTTATTCGCGAACGATCTGAAAACGCGAAGAACAAAAAAGAAGAAAAAAATGATCACCACATTCATAAGCGAATGTTTTGTTTAACAAAATTGCTTCAACGAGTTTTCTAAAACGCATAATTCTTCTCGTTTATTCGAAAATAAAGTGTATGATATCTTTAAATTAAAAAAAGAAAAAAAAAAAGGCAAAAAAAAAATTCTATTACGAATAACGTCCGAGTGTTTTAGGAAAAGTGTCGAAGGTAATGAAAATTGTTAATATAATTGTTTCACAGCATTAAACATGTACGAGTACTCGTAAAAAATGTTCGCGAGAGAGTGTTTTCGGTTCGTTGACCGAATACGAAACGTTATACAATTAAAATTGATTAAATCCTTTTACTTGGGATTAGTAACTTACCTATCCATTGAAACACCTTTATTTATCCATCGATCGTATCTACGATTAAGTCATTCGAATCGTATGAATCAGATCGATCATTTATTAATTAGATAAAATTCATGAATAACATTGAAACGAATCAAATATAATAATCGTTCCACGAGTTAATTACATCCATTCGTAATGTATTATCATGTGCGATATATTGTATAATAATCACCTATGAAAAAGGGAGCGGCGGGGGAGAGGGGGAGGGAGGGGGATTGGGTTGGGTCGCCGTTGAACGAATTTTAAAAAACAAACTTCTTCATTTCTTTTATATTTTAACACATCGACGATATTTAAAATTATTCATAAAGACGAGTTGATTTTTTTTTTTGTTTCTTTTTTCTTTTAATTTTAATTTTAATTTTAATTTTAATTTTAACAAGGACGAACAAATAAGACATGCACGATTGTAACATACCTCGTTACTCCTCTACGATATTCTATGACGTGGATTCGGAAATTTTCAATTAGAAGATCTACGTAGGATCTCTCATGGTCATCATCTTCCAATAAACCGACACGTGTCATAAAGCCTTGATACAAAGACGCGTATGCTTAATTATAAGTTTAACGAGTTTGCTGGTATACTTAATCGTTTACCCACCCGCGTTTCTTTCCTGCAATCCCCTCAAAAATCTCATATTATCAATCTGTCTCTTTCTTTTCTACCTACTTTTTATATCGCAATATTTATTAACCTGCGTCATAAGAATGAATGAAAAACAATAATTTCACAAGTACGAATCTTCCCATACCAACGTTTGGCGAGGGGTGGCGGGGGG